GCCCCGAAGAAACTTCTGGTAACAACGGCCGGGACGAGACACCTATTCCTCCTCCATAGATTATGGAGGAATTGTGTTTCTTTGCATTCCTGTGCTTCGGTTTGGTTTTGGTCCAATTTTGGGAGACATGATATCACTGTAGCCTCTCTTCTTTTTGTATTTATCCATTGCATCCCCGGTTTCTTCTCCTCTCCCGTGTCCTCTTATATGTCGACTCTCGACTACAACCCCTTTCTCCCATTCCTCCCGTTGTACTCAATAAGAAGATCGTCTTTTTTTTATTTTCTCTCATTTGTTACCCCTGTCCATATCCGTGTCTAACTGGATATGTACAACTTGAACTGAGTGTATAATATGGAGTTATTTGGAAACATGTCTTAGATTGGATGTCTTTTACGTGTAGATACTGTTGAACCACTATCGTAAAACTCACCGAATAACGTTGCATTAGACATATTGGCTATTAAGTTATCTAAATCTCCATTGATAGCAATGCCATACTCAAAGCATGCGTATTTATTGCGCTTTATACGCTTTATGTCTTCAATTATTCCCTTTGAGGTATGTCTAAAATTGGATGATGATTTTCAACAACGTCTCATTGTGTATGCTCTAGAAGCATTCTGTGTACGGGACAGCATAGCAGTTCTGGAAAGGGTATACGATAGAGATGTTCCCATGAAGATGCGTTTAGTCAAGGGCCAACGCTATCATAGGTATCAGGTATGACAAGTGCGCGTCACTGAAAGAATACATAGAGAAGATGGCGTTGTGCAGCCGAACATTCCAATGTAACCACGGAGAGAAAGACGGTGGCGACGGGGGAAAAGACAATGGCCGTGGGAAGAACCCCATCCACTTGAGAGGATCAGACTAACGAATGGCTACGATGCCAGTCCATCTTGGTCCGGAGTCGGAGTCTTGGGTCTCTGAGCGGTGGGGAAATTCGATGATAAAGAGAGAATGAATGCTGCAAGAAGCACTTTCAGAGGACTATTCTCGATGATCGAAGCAGAACAGGCCTGTCGCATGCAAGCTGCTCGCTACACGAAGAATTGTGCTGCATAAACATGTCTTGAAGAAGTCCCAAAATATATCTTACATTTCCAATTTGTTGCAATGAGTGATTAGTGCCTGAACATATTGATTGAAATAGTTTGCATTGTGTCAAAATCGATAGTTTGAGGTAAGACGCCGAGTGCAGAAAATCACAGCAAAAACATGTCAATCAATCTGGTATAGATTCTCCAATTCCCTGGTTATATATCAACCAACACATTAAGTGCTTTTCTTGCTAGCCTTCTTAGTCTTCTTTGCCTTGACAGACAAGCGAGGGATAAACCTGCCAACGCGGGCCTGGTAGTCGCTGTACTCGGGGTACTTTCCAGCGGTGATCTTTTCAGTTAGACGTACACTTCCCTGGAAGATAGCAAGATATCCCAAAGCGCCCAGACCGGTCCAGTTGAAGTAAGTCTCGGTGCGGTAGCAGGACCACAAATACATGGTCAACCAAACGGCCTGCTCAGCAACGAAGTTGGGGTGTCGCGACCAAGACCATAGGCCGCTGACAACAAAGCCCCGCTCAAGGTCTTCAGCAGAGAACTGGTCCTTGTAAGGCTCGGGAATACGCGCGTTGGTTTGGTATTCCTTCTTGGCAGACTGGAACTTCCACTGCTGCCCGTCGGCGAAGAATTCAATGATGATGAAGAAAAACGTAGCACGGGAGAATGCCAAGTCAGCAAGGCCAAAGGTCTCGGGTCCCTGGTTGTATGCGGCAACAACAAAAATGTAGGTCGGAGCGGTGATGAGAAGGAGCAGCAGTGACTGAGCCACGGCAATGAATCCGAGGTTGAAGATCATGAAGACAAAATTATTGTTCACTTTAGAGCGCACGATCTGCCAGCGGTAATCTTCCGAGCCAATCGAATATCCTCCTTTGCGCCAGTAGTTGAAAGTCAAGCGAGCCTATACCGTCAGTCGAGTTAGTAGATGCAGAGACTCGGAGAAATAGCCAACTTACACCCCAGATAACACTGATGACGGCGATTGTATCCACAGTCTGTGTCTGGATGCCGGACAAACGAGCCCAGAGGGCGAAATGCACGTTATACAGCGCGGGGAGAATGCTCCAAAACCGGTCTACTTGAGAATAGTTCCGGTTGATCTCGGCTGCGATGAAAAACAGACCAGCCAGAGTTCCACAGAAGGCAAGCGCAGAGACCAGAGGGTTGGTAGCTAGATAGACAGCTCGCAAGCTATACACATCGGAACCAGCTTCGCGCAAGCTTCCGGGTAGCCATTGCAGCTGGGTCAAGTAGGGGAGAACGGTGAGATGAAACGAGGTATAATCCAAAAGGGAGTCCACACGGGGAAGTGGTAAAGATGCCATTGTCGTACTATATATGGGAACAAAATGTCGCAGAGGAGAAAGGGAAACAAAAGCGTTTGCTCAGGTGGAGTTGGACGGGTAAGTGGCCAGTAATTGCCCCGATTAGGAATAGCGTGCCTAAAAGGGAATATATGCCTCAGGCAGCACAGCGCGTCTCAGGCATCTCGTCTCTTCTCATCCAGAACAAGATGTGATCGACGTCAGGACACTAAGACCACCATCACTATGAACCCCATGTGATCTAGATTGGGGCTCGTCATGGCTCGCAAAATCCTATGTGTGGCTGAGAAACCTGCCATTGCTCGCGCAGTGGCCACTCACTTATCGGGAGGTGCTTTTCAAACAGTGGGTTTCCTCTTAAAGATTTCTGGATTTAGCTAACATCGAGCATAGCATGCGATTCGCGGGAATAAATACGTGAAGAACTATGAGTTTGATTTTGATTTTGGTGGTGCCTGGGGCAACTGCTCGGTCACTATGACCAGCGTAGTCGGCCATCTGACTGGCTTGGACTTTGACCGTCAGTACAAAGGCTGGATGTCCTGTCCTCCAGGGTCACTCTTCGAGGCCCCTGTGGAAGAGACTGTTGATAAGGTGAGCAAATTCCAGCAGCTGTCCAGACTGCATGCTGATATCTTCACTAGGATAAACTACCAATTGCGGATAACATCCGGAATCAAGCTAAATACTCTAAAGCCCTGTTTATTTGGACGGATTGTGATCGCGAAGGTGAGCATATCGGTTCTGAGGTCCGCAATCAGGCAAAAGCAGGAAATGCCCGGATCGAGGTTAAGCGAGCCAAGTTCAGCAACACAGAAAGAGCGTAAGTAATGTTGATTTTGGTGTCTACTGAAACTGATCCGAGGATAGACATGTTCGTCGGGCTGCTCTAGAACCAGTCAATCTCGACGAATATCAGGCCAGTGCTGTGTCTGCCAGGATCGAACTAGATCTTCGAATCGGCGCTGCATTCACCCGCCTACAGACTCTACAACTACAAACAGTGGTGGCAGCCTTGAAGGAAAAAGTCATTAGCTATGGTAAGCTGTCGGTCGTCATAGATATAAGCAAGTGAATTAACAAGTTAGGATCCTGCCAATTTCCTACTTTGGGGTTCGTTGTCGATCGATACTTGAGAGTCCAAAATTTCATATCAGAAGTATTCTGGGGCATCAAGGTCATACTCAGCCGGGAAAGCAAGAAGGTCAACTTTCTCTGGAAGCGGGTACATTTATTTGACCGAGCAGTTGTGACGATGATGTTAGAGCGATGTTTGGCTGCAAAGCAAGCCAAAGTCACGAAAGTGAACCAGAAGCCTACAAGCAAATGGCGACCGCTACCCTTGACTACGGTAGACCTGCAGATGATGGGCAGTCGATTTCTTCGTTTGGACAGTCAGACTATCATGAAGGTAGGAAACCCATTTTCATAGTGGATGATATCTAACATGTTCAAAGGTAGCAGAAGGACTTTACACCAAGGGATTCATCAGCTATCCCAGAACCGAGACGGACCAGTTTGACAAAGCGATCGATCTGAAGAAATTGGTCGAAAAGCAATACCCCGACGAGTCATGGGGCCAATACGCTCGAGAGTAAGCTTATTGGACTTGCGTTTCATATACAAGACTAATGCCTATCTAGACTTATTGATGGCAAGTTCAGGACTCCTCGCTCTGGCCGCCACAATGACAAAGCCCATCCACCAATTCATCCTGTCACCTGGGTTGCACCAAACCAGTTGAATGCCAATGAGAAGAAGGTCTATGAATTTGTTGCCCGTCGATTCCTCGCCTGCTGTTCTGATGACGCGAAGGGCCAGAGCACAGAAATTGAAATCCAATATGGCGACGAATTCTTCCACACCAATGGCCTTATCGTGCTGGAGAGAAACTACTTGGATGTATACGTCTACGATAAGTGGGAAAGCAGCCAGCAGCTTCCCAATTTTGAACTAGGGGAGCTCTTTGAGCCCACAGAAGCCAATATCTTCGAAGGCAAAACAACTGCTCCAAACTATCTGACTGAGCCCGAGCTCATTGGCCTGATGGATGCCAACGGGATTGGTACAGATGCCACGATGGCGGAGCATATTGCCAAGATCAAAGAACGTGAATACGTCGCCATCAACCAACGGGGCAGTGGGCGTACCTCAGTGCAGGAATTCATTCCGACCCGTTTAGGTGTTGCCCTTGTGGAGGGGTATGACAATGTTGTTGAGGGTCTCCCTAATAGTGTGTCTCTCAGCAAGCCGTTCCTTCGCAAGGAAATGGAATTGAGAATGCTTGAGATCTGCTCAGGCACTAAGACCCGACAGGAGGTCGTCCAGCAGAGTCTGGACATGTACCGAGAGGTCTTCATTCACACACAGAGGCGCATCAATATGCTGAAGACTGCCTGTCGCAAGTATCTTGGTGAAGAAACAGCGTCATGATTGTCAGTCGCTTACAAAAGTTACAGAAGGCGTCATATAGATTCATAATGAAATATCCAACTGATTAAACTTTTCTATCCCAACCACTTGACGCTGACTCAATCATACATCCAAAAATAAAAAGGAGAAGCAAATAAAATCCCCTGTTATACAGATACGAAATAAATCTTCACATGTCCTAGGTCAGCCCCAATCCTGACCATTGCACTGAACTAGTCCTCCTTTTCCCATTCTGAAGAACTGGACTTCCCTCAGAGTTGGAAATCCCGTTGGGTTGCCCTGCGGCGTTGCGAGCTCCATTGATCTGCTCGATGCTAGGGCTCTTGCTTAGATCCAAATCAGGCTGGTCCATGTGTGCACCTTCGGGTAGGTCGTTGGACATGTTCTTCGCCATCAGTATGTTAAGCCAAGCTAATTGTCTCGGAATCTGAGGGAAACTTTCAGTATTTCTCATCAGATCGCGGTGTTGTTGACTGACCTCATCCAACTTGGATTCAATGGTAATCATCCCCGACGTGTATTTGTCTTCCATCATCCCAACAATATGTAACAAACAATGTTGGAGGTCGGCCGAGGAGTTTGTGATAGCCTCCGCCAGGTGAACGAAAACAGGCCGTACTTGTTCATTTTCCCTTCGGAACTGTCGAATCTCTAACATCAGAGTGTCGAATTGCACTTGCACGCCGCTCATTCGGTCAAAATAATCGTATTGCAGGTCCTCGACGTGCTGCTTGATGTTATTCGTCATCCCAAAGCCCATTATCTGCACTGTGAGGATAACCAAAACGAGAGTAGCCATGACGGTGAAATATAGCGTGTTGTTCTGGGCTGGGTGGAACTGTTGCAGCTCCTCGTAGCTATGCTCATTTGCCCAGATATCGTTCAAATAGCCCGACGTTGGCATCGCTGTGGCACTCGGGAGTAACATTGTTGCTGTAACTCCTGGGGTATTGACATGGAGTGATACAGCTTCAGCTGAGTGTTCCAGGGCCAGCCTGGCATTTTCATACTGTTGAGCATCGAGGGAAAGTTGTAGAAGGAGGTCGTGTTCTGAGATTGCGTCGTCATAGGGGAAAAGCAAAGGATGGACTTTGCGTAACTCGTGAACGGAAAACGCAATTTCCAGGGAGCTAAGACTGCGCCAAAAGAAAGAGTTAGAAGGAGTGACTCCGGTCAGCGGAACAGAATGCCAAATGCCAATGCTGCTGAGGCCAGCAAAAACGGCTCCCAATACCAGTTGGTCGAACATGTTTGTGATTTCTATATCGGATCAATATGATAGTGTTCAAGAGACTCAAAGGAATCTCCGTCTTTCTCGATCTCTTGGGAAGTAATATACCATGAAGAAGGCAAAAATGCAACAATGAATATGCAACTCTTTGTTCTATTCACGCTTAATGACCAGTGTTTGCCAGGAATTCAACCTTGAATGAACATCCACCAACTGTTTGGGAGTTACAACATGCCTAGCTTGATCGTTTCTTTGTTTGTCCGTTTGTATATTTAGCTGTCTTTTGAATAAATTCCCATTTTAATCTCACCGTAGTTATAGGTTACATTAAATTATCATTAGATATTTAATAGTATTAAGCTGAACCTCATATTTTCTAAAATAATCAGATCTTTGTCTGACCACAATGAGCTTAAAGAAAATCACCCACTTATACTAGCACAAAGAGACTGAAAAATGCTAGACAGTTTCCCCCCCAATATAGGCTCTGGATTTCTTTGGTCCTATTGAAATGAGTAGGTGTATTCAAGGTATAGGGAGAAGTTTAGAGCGAATAACAAAAGCATTATTATCACATTGGTTTCTATACATATAAACATGAATCTTCTAGCGTCTAAGTGGCGATCTTGATTCTCTATTCAACCAGCATAAGCAGATATTCATACCATAGAATACTTAGCAGCTTACTAAATCAAGCCAATAACAAAAGTATGAGTGAATCTTTCAATGACAATTCTTACGCAGTTAGCCATATTGGTCATCTGCATATTTAGCATGAAACCTGCTTGATAGATGCAAAGAGCCGTTTTCGCACTCATCTTACAGGTTCTTTCAAACTTGACTGTTTTATCACTGGTGTCTAAGATAAATATTGTAGGGTAACACGTGGCATGTAGGTGTCGCATATAGAATTGAAAGATACGGTCTAGAGAAATAGATTTTAATGGCAAATAACAGTCAAATTATTACTCTAAACAAAACGATAAAACATGCATTCACCGGTTCATGGCTCAAGGGTAGCTAATATTGTGAGTATCTGCCGCCGATTGAGAAATTGGAATTTGCCATAAACATAGTTGCAAGACTCAGGAAAGGGTGGATGTCAATTGAAAGAAAGAGAAATGGGCGTAAGATTGCTCAGCAAAATCCCGGGTAGATGATCAGTAACGTCACGGAAAAAAGTCGAGATTCATCCCTTCCTGTTCACTCAGGAACGCATGCGGTATAGCCGTTTGGTGCGATGGCCCATGAAGCTGGAGAACCAGGTTGCCTCACCGTGGGTAATGCGGCAAGTTTGGTCATACACCAATCTGGCGGTACGAAGATCCCAGTACTCAGAATCCTCGTCTGGATGTTTCTGCATGCAATCTAGACATAGGCCATGAAAGTAACCATCGACCAGTTTTCGTGCGTACTCCACCGTGCGTTTCCAGGAGAAGGGGCATACCACGCATCTCTGCACCGATGGCTTCCTGTTTGCCATATTATCCTCATTGAAGTTTGCCAGTCGATGTAGAATATCACTGACACAATTCTTGTATATGTCACCATCCAGCGGCTTGACCCTGATGTGATGTAATTCTCTAAAGTAGGCAAACATGCTTTCTGCTGCACAGCCACAATGAGCTTTATCGAGAATCATATTCAAATCTCCAAAAAGCGATCTTTGGAGAACCGTTCGGAGCCGCCCTCTAGCTATGTTTAGTTGCTCTTTTTGCGAGTTAGCATCCTTTGATCTTAAAAGTGTGACTGGTATCAACTTACGTATGACGATAGCGGGCATATGCATCGGCTCGAATGATGGTGAGTCTGTCGGGGCCATTTCTGTGATATGGCCTGGGGCGTTGTAGACGAGTCTTCTTGTAATATGCTGGAAAGCCTCTGCGTGATCAAAGAAATGGCAAGGTAGCAGTAGCTGGCGGTTGAAATCATAGTCTTCCCATATTTCAGGTTGTTTATCGTCAATATGTTTGATCCAGCGTGCAAACCAGCCCATCAGCTTCTTAGGATCCAGCAGGTACTTGTTGCAGGCCTTGATTGTGTACCAGACATCTGCAATAGTGACAAACTCTGGCTCGATCTCGACTCCATGAATCGACCCAAGTATCACCTCCATGCCTTTGATCGTGTCACCTCTGAGAGTGGGCTTGTGGTTCCCGGGTTTTTCCCACCGACATGAGAACATTCTCTGAAAGTAGTCACTGCTCTCAATCAATTTGGAACGATCAACGTGGAATAGGGCTGTCTTGGTTTGGTGGTCGTCGTCCTCGCTCGACTCTTCAATGACAATGAGCGTCACATCACTCGGGCTTGCGAACAAGAAGCCCATGTTGGCTGGGAAAGTTGGGGAGCAACAAGAGTAGAGTCAAGCTGTTTGAAGATGGAGTCTCAAAAAGAAAAAAAAGAAAACAGATGGAGGATGGAGGATGATGCAGAAGGAGAAAGAGAAAGAGAAAGAGAGGATGTCGAAGAGGGAAAGATCGTAGTCGGCAAGGAAGGAGCTGCGCAGAACATTTCAACTTTTCTCCTCAATGTTTCCCTCTTCATCCTCCCTTCCATCAGAAAAGAACTCTGAGATTGAAGCAGATTTCAAAATGCATCCTCCTAATCTCTTACTGGATAGTTATAACTGTCCTGTCTTTTTGCGAAGCTGCAATACGTACAGAGAGCACCTCCTCAAGACCGAGGCCCTGGAGCTGAAGCTCCCACCGTACATGATCGTAAGTCTCTATGAAGGAGAATCAACTTCGGAAAATGTTTCTAATTGCGTGAATAGAACTCTACTGGTCAAATCGTTGTGTGCCATGGCAAGGTCTTTCATCATTGTGTACCGAGCTGTGGACATGTCAGTGGTCTTCTATACTGATGCTCCCCTAGGTGGTTATTAATTAAATGCAGGCCCCTACCTCTACAATCGCCAGTCTTTACCAATACACTATGAGACATGGTCTTCAGGTCGCAACGAATGGCTCAGGACAATTGACACAGGTCCAGGAAGATGCGGCTATTCAGTGGTACAACTCCACGCAGGAGGCTGAAGAGGACGACCATGATGAGGACGACAATGAGGATGACGAGGAGCCCAATTATGAGGACGATGATGATGAGGACTATGAAGACAATGACGAGGAGGACGATGAGGACTATGATTAGGACTATGATGAGAAGCCTATGGCACAGCAAAGTCCGGCTCTGCCTATTTTTATGTCTTTGTTGAGAATTGCCGCGTATTCCTTGAGCTCCCGGGTTTTTACCATCAATGAAGTGGAATTATCATTCAATCTCATGGCTATTGTGCCGACAGTACGAGCTGGAGATTCACTAGGACTTCCTATAATGGAAATTATGTCTTCTACTTCATCTGGACTCTGTAGGATTGACATGTTTTATTTATCCTAGACACCGTCTAGTGCGAAACCGGCTCTTTGCACCTGTCAAGTTTCATGCTAAAAATGCAGATGATCTGAATAAGCTCAATATGACATATGCCACCGGGGCATAAAACTCTCATTGAATAGTGCTCTTGAACCGTACGCTCTCTTTTTCATCTTTCAACTCTATAAGCGACAACCTACGCACCCTATATCCCTTATAATGCTTATCTAGCGATATAATCCCGGCTACAATATCTGATTTATGACATTATGTCTTTTTTTGGTATCTTTTGTACTGCTTTTGACGGATTTCGCTACTACCTACCCTTGCGATATAGTTAGTAAAGCATAATATGGAAATATCTGTACAACAGTCCGATGTAGTGTAGGGGTTATCACTGTGCTCTTTCACAGCACTAACGGGGGTTCGAATCCCCCCATCGGAGAACTTCTTTTTTTCATGCCTTTTTTTTGGTTTCCAATTTTTCTTCTGCACGCCTGTTGATCGTTATTTTTATACAAATAATTGATAAGTGACACGAGGTCTTCATACCCATTATGCGCACGCTATTACTCCTTTCTGGATTTTTTCATTGTAGTAAAATATAGGATTTCTCACTGGAAACCTATGGTGATATCAATCAAAGTTGGGATAAGTATACCTCGATTGCTGAAATTCGTATAACATTCCGATGTAGTGTAGGGGTTATCACTGTGCTCTTTCAAGTTCCTCTTTAGGACATTGAACAGCACTAACGGGGGTTCGAATCCCCCCATCGGAGTTTGTTTTTTTTGCTTCATTCACTTTATGATATAGTTAGTGGCTGATATAACTACTCAGTTTCATTTTAGAATAAATCACATTGATTTCTCTCCTCTCTACATATAGAGTTTGAAAATGTTCCCTTCCATCAACCAACTTACGGTCTTCCTCCAATAGTTTCATGTGAGAAGCTGGGTATGACTAGGTACTCGTTAAATTGGCTAGGAAGTATCCCTAATATTGTGCATTTCTCACATCGGCAGCAGGTATCATTCCTCTGTATCAATATAACGTTGATGCTATCTATTTATGGGTCTTCGTACCCTACTAGAACACGGGGGATCAGCCTGCGCTTTTTCCGTTCGGTAAAATTATATCCCTTCCATTAATCACTTGCAGAGGTCATATTGCACCCTTATTTACGAGCTACCGTTTAGACTTGTGAATTGGCGAAACAGGCTGAAACAACGGCTTTGTCGTACTTCTAAATCGATACTTAGTGGATCCGGCAATGCGATACACAGTAATAGCCAAGAATTAATATGTGTCCTTCTACTTATGTACCTCTTTACTTCCGATGCTTCGGGTTGGGCAATTAGTCCAATGTGATATACCATCAGACCATCGCGCTGTTGATCTATTGTGCATAACTAGAGCCTATCTTATTCCGGACTAGAAATGCTCAAGGAAACTTGAAAGTGGGCATGATTTATGCAGAGGTTTATTTAGAGCCTCGGTTTGAGATTAATGTGTTTACAAAGAGACGACGAGTTGAGGATTCTCTAGAGAACCATTGACAGAAAGCAGCTATATCAAAAAAAAAGCAGACGTTATGAACCTGGAGGATAATAACAGTCCAGTATCAAATGATTACTACCGGACAGCTGGTACTGCAAGGGTATATAATCTAGTTTCGGACTGAAACGCTTCATATCCGAAGGGTCTGCAGGCCATCCTCCGTGTTCGGGCCTAACGCCTTCGTCTATATTACCCCACATTATCTGCCACCAAAGAGAGCCTTTTCAAGGTTTGATGTAAGTGGCGCTCATTCCATCTAACGGCGCTCTTGGCATGCTTTAACGCCCTTCGACGCCACCAACTGTCTCATGGCCCTTTGTTCTGTGCGGAGTGGAGCATATTTGAATCCTATGGCCAAATTCCCTGTCTGGTATCCTCGCCCTGATGTATACGAAAGATCGACAGGCAACATACCTCAAAAGGTCTCCATTTGCAGTTGATCCTTGCACTGTTAAGCTCCCCGAATCTTATACAGCAATCGACAGAACTGGATCGGGGCATACTCCGTCTTCACGGGTGTTGAAACGAATAACATGCATGTTTATCTACTCCAATATTAGTCAGGATTTTGAGACATCCTATAACAAAACGTCACCCAGTGATGATCATTCCCTTCCTGATTCAGGCGCCGGTTCCAGTCCCAAATTAATGCACCTACAACGCCGGAGGTCACCTAGTATGGAATTTGATCCTGCATTGATGATTGTGGACTCTCTGACGATACCAATTTGGTAACGGCTTCACGGTCCGTCAATCGGTCATGCTATGGAAAGGACTTTAGTCACGGCTCAGAGAAATCCTGTACGGAGAAAAGACATATAATGGCCGATTCCCACCCGAGATTATTTGTGTTCACCAGCTGCAGGCTAGAAAACAAGACACCAAGAACACATTGCAAACCGACCTCTCTGCTTCATCGTCAATGTATCAACGCGCACTCCTTTTCTCCGTCCTGGCGGCGGCAGCCCGTGCCCAGCAAGCTGGCACATTGACGGCTGAGACCCATCCCTCTTTGACCTGGCAAAAGTGCACTGCCGCGGGCAGTTGCACCGACCAGCAGGGCTCTGTTGTCATCGATGCCAACTGGCGTTGGCTTCACTCTGTCGATGGTTACACCAACTGCTACACTGGAAACGAGGTAAGAGAACCCCAACCGAGAAGATGAGCGTTCACGTTGATTGACTTGTATGATAACAGTGGGATGCGACTCTCTGCCCCGATGACGAGACTTGCGCCACTAACTGTGCGTTGGACGGCGCTGACTACGCCGGCACCTACGGTGCGACCACTGATGGCAATGCCCTCACTTTGAGCTTCGTCACTGGTGCCAACATTGGCTCTCGTCTGTACCTGATGGAGGACGAGAGTACCTACCAGATATTCAAGTTGAAGAACCAGGAGTTCACATTCGACGTGGATACTTCCGGGCTGCCCTGCGGACTCAATGGAGCTCTGTACTTTGTCTCCATGGATTCCGATGGTGGCTTGGCTAAGTACGCGGGCAACAAGGCAGGTGCCAAGTACGGAACTGGTTATTGTGATTCACAGTGCCCTCGTGATCTGAAGTTCATCAACGGCCAGGTGAGTTTTTATACTGGTCAATTCGAACGGTTTGCGGGCAAAATGACTGATGCGCGATACAGGCTAACGTGGACGGCTGGGTGCCTTCTGATAACGACAAGAACGCTGGTGTTGGCGGCCACGGATCTTGCTGCCCTGAGATGGATATCTGGGAAGCCAATAGCATTTCCACTGCTTACACACCTCACCCTTGCGACAGCCCCGAACAGACCATGTGCGAGGGCGATGATTGTGGCGGAACTTACTCTTCCACCCGCTACGCAGGAACCTGCGATCCCGATGGATGTGACTTTAACTCCTTCCGCATGGGAAATGAGACCTTCTTCGGTCCCGGCATGACCGTTGACACTAAGTCCAAGATAACCGTGGTCACTCAGTTCATCACCAGCGACGGCACCGACACCGGCACCCTCAGCGAGATCAAGCGCATCTACGTGCAGGACGGAAAAGTCATCGCCAACTCAGCCTCGGATGTTAGCGGTGTCACAGGAAACTCGATCACCACCGACTTCTGCACAGCCCAGAAGAAAGCGTTCGGCGATGAGGATATCTTCGCCCAGCACGGTGGTCTGGCTACCATGGGCGAGGGGTTGGACCAGGGAATGGTTCTTGTCATGAGCCTGTGGGATGACCACTATGCTAACATGCTCTGGTTGGACGGGGAGGTCTACCCCACTGATGCCTCTGCCTCCGATCCCGGTGCTGCTCGCGGTACATGTGCCACCACCTCAGGCGACCCAGCAACCGTTGAGGCCGAGTCGGGCTCGGCCAAGGTGACCTATTCTAACATCAAGGTCGGCCCCATTGGCTCCACATACGCTTCTTCCTAGAGAGTCGAAATGACATTCACTTGCTGAACTCGGCTATACTTGGAATGCGGGGTCTCCGTGCTGCATACATCCTTGAGCCAGTGGTAGCAAATGCCCAATTTGGAAGGAAATGGTGAACTGTGTATAAGTCTCTTTGGTCGATAGTTGTCTGTATTCTTGGTTCCATTTTATCTTTCTTACAATCAGAGCTGTTTATCAGAATCGGGGCTCATTTGAACTGGACAAGTAAGAAGGCGGTCGGGGTATTCTCGGCCCGGCAGAAAAAAAACGGCCAGCCCTGAAGCTACAGCTTTTTGCAATTGATTCTCTTGATTCAATTCACTCGAATTCAAAAATTTAGTAGGCTCGCTAGAAGCCTTCGTATTTCGTGCTCACCCCCGTCGCATTTCGCAACCATGTTCGACACGGTCTGCACGCTTCCGCTTTCCTCGGACCTGTTCGCTCAGGCTATCCACCCCGAGGAGCCCGTAGTCTCTGTCGGTCTAGCCTCGGGCCACGTCCAGACCTTCCGACTGCCTTCCTTAGAAGGAGAAGGCGACGAAGATGTCGCACCGAGTTCGTTGGCCCGGACCGGAAAGGGCCACATTGACACAATGTGGAGAACTCGGCGACACAAGGGTAGCTGTCGTACCCTAGGGTTCAGTACGGATGGCAAGATGCTCTACTCGGCTGGTACAGACGGTATGGTGAAAGCTGCAATCAGTGAGACTGGTCAGGTGCAAAACAAGATTGTGATTCCTTTTGAGAAGAACGGGTAAAGGAACTCTCCCGAACATCAAACGTTGCGATCCAGACCTTTGCATTTGGCTGACCTCTCGTTTTTTTTGATGTCGTATAGCTCCATTGATGCGCCAACCATGATTCACGCCCTCTCTCCTCAAACCCTCCTCCTCGGTACCGACTCGAGCGCTCTGCATCTCTACGATCTCCGTATCCCCTACTCTAAAGTGTCGGCGCGACCTGAACAAACGCACCACCCCCACGACGACTACATCTCCTCTCTTACCCCTCTGCCGGCTTCCGAAACTAGCACATCGGGCTTTAGCAAGCAGTGGGTTACAACCGGTGGAACAACCTTGGCCGTGACAGATCTCCGGAGGGGCGTTCTGGTGCGCAGCGAGAACCAGGAAGAAGAACTGGTCAGCTCGATCTTTATGGGTGGTCTGCCCTCCAGCGGAACCAGTAGAGGCGAGAAGTTGATTGTTGGTGGAGCCAGCGGTATCCTCACTCTCTGGGAGAAGGGCGCGTGGGATGACCAGGATGAGCGGATCTACGTCGACCGCAATGCCGATGGCGGAGATTCCATCGAGACAATGGCAGTTGGGCCTGACTACTTGGGCAAGGTTGTGGCCGCAGGCCTCTCAAACGGAAAAGTGAAATTTGTGCGCATCGGACCGAACCAAGTCGTTTCTGAGGTTGTGCATGATGAGATCGATGGTGTTGTAGGCTTGGGCTTTGACGTGGAGGGCCGGATGGTCTCTGGTGGTGGCCAAACCGTCAAGGTGTGGCACGAGGCTGAGGAAAATATTGGTGAAGGATCTGGCGACGAAGACATGGATGATAGTGATGACGACAAGGATTCGGATAACAGCGACGCGGAACGTCGCGAGGATCCAAGGGACCGAAAGAAGCGCAAGAAGTTGAAGGGCAAGGACCGCACTGGTGGACAGCATGTCATGGCGTTCCATGACTTGGACTAATGTCTCAATATCCCATTCTCTGATACCCACATCTGCAGATCGATTGTTCAGCCCGAAAACAAGAAAAAGTGTACATAGCGTTGGTGTTAGGGGTTTTAAGGGCCAATTAGAGGAAGAATATCTATATCTCCGATATGTACATACATATGTCTCCCCCTTACTTGGCTCTAGTTTATTCTGATGTCCACGGGAACGTCAACTAAGCATTAGGGGCGTTAGGGGCTAAAAATCGCAGGAAATATCGAATCATTGATACCTTGCTCCGTGTAGCTTCTCAAATCCGATACCGACTCCCACCATACAAAAACCTCACACAGCTGACCCCAAAGAATGCAGTAGCACCAATCATTCTTCAATCAAGTCAGACCACTCCGGAATCTCCCTGATCAGTTTCCACATGTATTTCTCTAGTTTGACTGCACACTTGGCGTATACCGTTGTGGCGTCATTGTACTGCCGACAGTTACTGAAAATCAACTTAAGATCGGCGAGAAGGTCCTTCGGAGTAGTGTAACGCTCTAATCTCTCTTCGATGGTTGATAGATCCATTGGTGATAAAATGACATTGTAATAATCAGGGACTTGGTCTTTGTTGACTGGATTGCGGAAGGGCCATGCTTGTTTGTGGTTTTGGATATCGTTAATAAAACGACGAAATTCGTTGAAATGGGGTCCGCGGAAACGAGATCCGTGGCATGATTGTCGTGCTAACTCGTCCATCTCCGGAGACCAGCCAGTTGCCCGGATGGCAGGGATAGAGAGTGGGTCAATGGGAACGACGCCGTTAGCCCATTGCATAGGCGGTTGATGAATGATATGATTTTTGCTCGAGGTACGTATTTTGGCTAGGACGGATTCTTTTTGTTTCAAAAGCATTCGACCAACTTCGAGATACCGTATTCGAGGAAGCATAGAGCATTGCATAAGTGTTCCTCCTTCGTAATCCTTAATACAGCCCATCCAGATAGAATTGTCGAGAGTGAGCTCTTTAGTAAAGCCTTGCTTTTGAAAATACCCAATGGCCTGATTATCGGCATAGGTCAGAAAATGCATCACCGGGGAAGTAGCTCTGATGTAGTCCTTTAAATGGGCCATAAGATGCGCTCCGTATCCTTTCACCTGCTGATCAGACGAGACTGCACAAAAAACAATTTCGGCAAACTTGCGTTCTCGGAATTCTCGGAATGATATACCGGCAATGACCTCTAGAGGTTTCTTAACGATAGCGATCGATAAATGAGCACGATCGTAGACGAGACGTGCGATGTAATCCTTGGGCATTTCCGGAAGTTGCTTTTGAAATAGGCATTTAAGACCTGTAAGGATAATCGTGCTCTCTCTAGAGCCATCATTGTTGACAACTCGTAACTCGATCTCGCCATTTCGTTCTTCCAAAACTGCAGGCTTCAGAACAGTTAGAACGTTTCTTGGCATTTCAAGGTCCTAGCATACCTTCTCGGGGAAAGGAACTATCCGGGTTATAGCTGGAGCTATAACCACCTCTGTCAACCCATCATGAAAGCCTTTGGCTCTTTTGGTACCGGGAGAGATATCCAGCTCTTCACAAGCCATGCGCTTGGCGAGAAGATTTGGCCCGCTATCGGCTTGCATCTCTACTTTGTCCATTTGCAGGATTTGCGGATGTTGGCAATGCTGAAATTGCGACAGGTAATATGCAAAATCGTATGGGTCTCTGAATTGATTGTAGTCTTCATTCCTCAATAATGAAATTCTGAGTTAAATAGAATCTGAGGTTAGAGATCAATTCGGTGTAGAACCTGGTGGTCAATGCTCACTGGTGTCTTCGGGGTCCTTGTGTCCACTCATATAGACTTTGTTGGTTTTGACCTCGGGAGATGTATTGTATGTTTGATTTTTCTATGAAAGGCACAAAGAATATCAGAAAAGGAAAATTCAATGCATTCACTTGGGAACCATAGAAGCGCACAGATGTGAGTGAGGAGAAGAGTGGAGAGTGGAGAGGAAGATCTACGGGGGCTGATGGACAGACACAACGATCATATCACGTGAGTGGGATGCTTCAGACATATAGACAACGTTCTATTAAGAATGAGAGGCAGTTGAGGATAATGAGATCCATAAGCGGAACAAAAGATTGAACAGCCGCTACTGCAGTCCGTGTATCTGCTTCATGTGTCTGTTCTAGCTTGAGAATCTGTAATAGAGATATAATGCAGTATGAGAAGCCAGAAATTGAATAGACATTCTTAAATTTAGCTAGGTACCTCTGAACTCCGAATTACTATGCCTCAGTTACCTTCTTTACACGTTATGTTGATTAGTTCGAGTCTCAACGGTGATATCAATATGATCAAATAGGAACCGAAACTTCCAAGGTTGCGGCTTGTGGGTATTTGAGGGCCGACCCGAAGTGATCCATAGAACGAAAATGACATACTGACATCCGCAGATCCTCTGCATTGAACAATTTAGTTGTTGTCACTCCGTTGGGGCGTGAAGCTCGAGTGCTTTCGCTTTCCGCTGCGAGAATATCCTTGCCGCTCCGCTCATCAACTTTTTGCCGGCGATATAATAGTTTAGAGCGCATTGAGCCAGGATAGTTTGAATATCCCATAGATAACTTGATCCGATATACCACTACAGGAGAGGGGCTTCGCTAGTCCTAGTTTGCCTATGTACCACTAAAAATCACTCATTCAAGTTTTCCGTTAGGAGTCTGAGCCTGTACTGAAATCCAAGCTTGAGTCTGAGTCTCATAAAAGCGACTTTGGGACTCATGCAGCAAAGCACCACCAGCTACTTTGGGGGAATTTATATCGAGGCACAAAATCCACCTGTGGATCGAACGTCCACCATAGTATGTCCACTATGATCGGAATACCCGTAGCCACACAAGGACCGAGCGTACCCAAACAATTCAGATCGGCCATTTAATATTAACCGCAAAAGCCGCCATTGCATGGCTCGGAGAATCTCAAATTACGACTTTTCATAAAACCCCACAGGCTTGAATGCGGTGGGGACTATAAGATGACAAGTCTCCCCTCAGATAATTTCAAACACAAAATGGATACCTTCGAGTACAATTCCAACCCTGTCCATCTTCGGCAGTGACTCGCTGCAAGAACTCCCCGATGAGATCTCCCGGCTACAAGTGAAGGCCCCGCTGGTGCTCTCGACACCCCTGCAGATCGGCCAGGCCGAAAAAGCGAAGGAGTTGCTCAAGGGCCAGATCGCGGGTATCTTCAGCGGTGCGACTATGCATACTCCCATGAATGTCACGACGCTCTTGGGTATGCGAAGGCCTAGGAAGCCGATTCGGTCATTTCTATTGGAGGCGAAAGCACTATTGGTCTTGGGAAGGCGATCAGCATTCGCACTAGACTACCGCATATTTTGTATTCCGACTACATATTCTTTAGGGAAATGACTCCGATTCTAAGTGAGACTGCCAATGGATTGAAGAAGACTTGCTCGGAGCCCAAAATATTGCCCGGCACGGTCATCTACGATGTAGATCTCACAATGACCTCGCCGGTGCCTATGAGTGCCACTAGCGGTGTCAACGCCATTGCAACCTGATTAATCTGCACTAGCTTCCTATGCAAGAATCTAATACGTTCCTGAATAGCCGAGGTTCTTTACGCGCGCAACACGAACACAATCATCAACATGGGCGCTCGAGGGTATACGGGCACTTGCGTCCTCCCTTCCTGAAATTATTGAGAAGCCTTCTTCTCAATCTGCACGATCCAAGGCATTGTATGGTGCCTGGCTCTGTGGAACATGCCTGGGCAGCGTAGACATGTCCTTCCGATCTTCCCCACATTGAAACTCATACTGCTGTTCTCCCGCACGTCGTCTCCTAAAATGCACCTAATATCTCTGAGACTATGAAGCAGTTGGCCGACGCCCTGCCTGATAGCAATGCGATCCACGGTTTAAACGTCCTCTTGACTAAGCTCAAGGTTACGCGTGGCGTGAAGGATTACGGGATTAAGGAGGGAGATCTCATTAATGCGGTTGATATTGCGCTATCTAATACTTATTGGAATCCTCGCCGATTGAACGCGCGCCGATCCGCGAATTGCTTCGCAGGGTTTGGACGGAAGAGCCAGCACGGGCGGACTTGTAGATATCCTTTGCCTTTTTATGTTGAAATGTTGAAATGCGTAAATAGCTCTGTGACCCGGGAATAATTTGATTATATTTGCACCAAAATTCGATTTCTAGGCAGTTGGTTTGCTGTCTGCCAATGGGCTCTGTTGTATTTTACCGTTATCCATTGGCGGGGTGGTGGGGGGATCTTTTTTTTCTCCAAAAAACTTTTTGCAATTTCTCGTCATTTTTGGTTCACTACCACGCTTCCTCCCTCTATCTTACAAAAATGGGGTCTGAAATGAAGTCAGCCCCTGTGCTGTCGACTGCTGATGATCGTATTCTCGAAGAAATCAACCTAGTGGCGACGCGAGACCCAACGGCTCCAGTGTCAGACGATGAACTTTCCATTACCTACGATATCGAGCGCACATTGAAGGATATTCGGCAAGCGCGGTACAAGCGCATTGCTCTCCAGTTCCCAGATGATATGCTTCCTGATGCCCCGCGAGTATTTCAATTGCTCAGCCGGGGCCTGGAACGCGAAGAAGTCGGCACCAATGGCACACAGCCCTCGAACCAAACCGACCCTAGCAACGCCGATGCCGACCTTGCTCACTCGATAACGGAGCTCCAGGTGGAGGATAAAACAGAACAATACTCTCCTCGGTTGACAATTTTGGCCGACACATCCTACGGGACCTGCTGCGTTGACGAAGTGGCCGCGGAACATGTGGACGCAGATGTGGTTGTGCATTACGGGAGGTCCTGTCTGTCGCCAACAGCTCGGCTACCCGTGATCCATGTCTTCACACATAAGGATCTGCCCCTTGAACCAGTGATACGAGCGTTCAAGGCAACTTATCTTGATCCAACGACCAAGGTTATCATCGCAGCCGACGTTACCTTTGCAGACCACGTTCCTACGGTATACGCTCGCCTGATGGAAGAGGGATATAGCAATATATATGCAACGGAAGTTGTTCATGAACCTTCATCATCGATTCCCAATCGCACAGTTCCCGAGTCGGTTCGAGAGGCGCCCGAGACTCTGGCCGACTGGCAACTGTTTCACATATCCGATCCGCCAACAGCCCTCATGATGACGCTCGCGTCTCGCGTTGCAGCAATCCATATTTATCCTACCAACGACCTTTCAAATGAGAACGTTAATCCATTGCCTGCTTCAACTACTGCGGTTTTGCGACGCCGCTATGGCACTCTTGCCTCTCTGACAACCGTACCTATCTGGGGCATTCTTATCAACACTTTGAGTGTCAAGAACTACCTGCATATTGTGGAACATGTCAAGGAACGAATTGCCAAAGCAGGCAAGAAGAGCTATATGTTCGTGGTTGGCAAATTGAATGCTGCCAAGGTAGCCAATTTCAGTGAAATCGGTGGTTGGGTGGTCATTGGTTGCTGGGAAAGCTCTTTGGTGGATAGCAAGGATTTCTGGAAGCCAGTCATCACTCCCTTCGAATTAGAGCTGGCCTTGAAAAACGACTCAGACCGGGTATGGACAGGAGCGTGGCAGAGTGACTTCCAGGCAGTCCTCGACGCACCAGCCCAGGAGGTCAACGGAAATGGAGATGACCAGGAGACATCCACTGGCACAACCATGTCCGATGAGGACGACATGTCAGAACCCGAGTCGGCGCCGCCTGAGTTTGACTTTCGGACCGGTCGATACGTCTCACATTCCCGCCCAATGCGGGATCCCGCGCCTCGCGCTTCTCAAGTTGATGGATCATCCACCAGCGGGCCATCCGCTGCTAGGGCACTGGCGCGACGAGCTAAGGGTGACTTGGCTATGATCGGCGGTGCCTTTTCACCAGGGGCTGAATACTTGCGATCTCAACGGACATGGAAGGGTCTGGGTAGCGACTTTGATATTCGATATGATGAGGAAGACTTGGATGATAGTACCCTAGTCAAGGAAGGGCGCAAGGGTATTGCGAGGGGCTACACTGTAGGCGATGCGACCGACAAACATTAGTCCACATGGCCTAGCATAGAAACCATTTGCAATAGACTCAGCGATCAGTGCATCGTATTTCCTATGCATAACAAAATCTACGAACGACTGAAAATCCGGGGTTTTGATGGCTATCACATGACGCTGGTCTCTCCTAACGGGCGCATCCGGATATCACCTTGTGTCGCTCACCTTTTGCACTTGTTTTCCCACGCCTTTGCTTCCTTTCATTGATTCAGCGTCATAGGGGCATAAATAATCATTCTCTCTTTCTTTGCTTTCCCCTCTCTTTGGGGATTTCGTCTGTTCCCCTCCTTTTATACCCCTCCCTTTCTCCGTTCCCCTTCAGATACCCCAATTCGTCAGCCCTTGCTACCTGATCTTTTCAATTATCGACTCTTTACCTTTAATGGCCTTGCATGGTGGCTTACCTCAGGGTGTGCTTCCCCCCTCGATTGCATCTTCAAGTTGTCTTATCATGTGCCGCGTCTCTAACCGCCGAGCTCGCGACCTCGCGCCATTTCGATCTTCGACCTAAGAACTGGCATCTTTTGTTCACCCAGAACATATGACGAATCACGATCTCGACACTATGGCTAGGGGGAATGTTCCTGGTGAGGACCCAGCGTCGCACCCGACGGTGCTGGAGAATGCCTTACAACACTCTGTTATCCCAGAAGAACGGACCCTGTCCACCTTTGAGCGAGTGATAACAACAAATGCACCTATATTCGAGTCTTTATTACTTCAGATCCCGACCGATACCATCATAAAGCTGTATCACACTTCAAATTACCTCCGTACGTTTCTTCGATCATATCCGACCGCATGGAAGTCACTCTCGTTTCGCCTACAATTTCCTTCAAGCACTCTGCCAAATCCTCCAATCAATGACCCAAGCGGCCTTGAAACAGCGCCCGCGCGTCAATCCAGGCCTTACGCGCTAGACATGTTCCTGATGAATGTGGTTATCCCATTCAGTAGGTGTTTGAAAAGTCTAGAACTGGATAACACGGCCATTTCGGGGGAGAACCTGACCTCAACTGTGCTGCATTCACGTCGGGAGACGCTGGTACATCTCTCCGTTCGGGGCTGCAAGAATGTGTCTTTGAAATATCACATCGTTCCTTTCTTGACCATGTTCGCGCTGCAGTGTGACATGGACATGGAGAATAACACCGGCAGCTCTCCCGGGATGCAACAACTTGCTCTCAAGAGTATCTACGCCTATCGCTGTCGTCACCATAGAAGACGCCCTTATCTATCATCCTCACTGATGCGGAAGGACGCTGACGCGGAGTCGACCCATGAACTTGTCAATATCTGCCACAAGCTAGGTATATGGACTGATACCGCTTGGTGTACCACACCTGCCGGTAGATGCGCTCGCAGAGCCGGTTATGTCAAATCAAGGTTCCCGCATGGAGCAGGGTCGCCGGAAGTCTGGGTTGTCTTTGATCGACTCTGGAGATCCAAAAATTGGATCGGCCCAACCGAAACTGAGACCTCTCAGCCACACGTATACGATGGAAAGCTGTGGGAGAATCGCGACACTGGATTTTATGGCGAGGCATTAGGAACTGGCGAGGGTATCGACTGGGGTGAAGGCAAAATGACGCCTGCCCATATGCGCCGGAGTCATACCCAATTTGTCGACAAGATCCGCTGTGACAACTGCCTCGAGGATATCTCAGAGCGATGTGAACATTGCAGCGTCCTGATGCACTGTGTCGGATGCCGTAAAACACTCTGCGCAAGCTGTGCCCACGAACGGCCGTATCTTCACAGAAGCACAACATCTTCGTCTGAAAAAGCCCAGAATGCACCGGGTTCTTTCTGGTGGGCACCAGGGGCCACACACTCTCCAGGCTCAATGCAGGATCCCGTGGATATTCTGACCGATCCCCATCAACCCCATGGTACAGGATTGGACCCACCGCCTATCCTCAATTTCCATTGGTGCTGCACCAAGCCTGACCTCTCTGGGGGAGGTGGGATTAGCATCGGACCTCGCAATGGTGAGGTGGACCAAGTACGAGCCGTACCTTTGCCTCGTGGCCAAGGTTGGGAGGACCTAGAGTACACAGTTAGTGAATGGAGCAAGACGTTCCCCAAGTATGCATATGGGGATCCGAGCAAGCCGGACTATTCGCTTGAAACGGGTCATCTGGCGATGATGAAGTGGCTCCTAGGACCACCTAACCGGGAAGTCTCACCGTGTCCGCGTAACTTGTGTCAAGGATGTTACGATTCACCACAGTGGAAGGTGCACTGCAAGAGCTGCTCAAGGCCTCTCTGCATTGAACATGACCTCCGCGGGCTTCGCCTAAGGATTTGCGGTTACCGAGACCTTGAGACGGAAAAGCAAATCATTCAAAATCGGTGGGCTGGAAATCTTTCGGGATCTCTTATTTCTAGTCAAATTCCCGAATACGACCTACTATTCAGAAGCCAGGAGCTTCTTGACTCGACCAACAAAAGCTACATTGACGATTCACGTCAGGATAGTATGGACGAGGAAAATACACCCGAATCACATGTTGGTGATCAGTCGGCTCCTGTTTCCTTCTTCTCCAACCAACCAACTCGCTCATTTTCGGCCCCTGCATCTGACCATTCTTCCCCTCCCTCATCCTCATCCTCCACCTTCTTTGATTCGCCGCTATTCGAACCACGATGGCAAGGTTGCCAATCCTTTTTCTGCCCCCCGGCTGATCCTATGACCGGAATCAGGGATGTCCGAGGCGGTATCAGGGATCCACGTCCTAGGTGTTCTAGCTATCTGCGCGAATGCAAAGGCTGCAGGGTGTATGTATGCGCGGACTGCATATACACTCATTCCCCCTGCAAATGCTCGTATTGCGAGGAAACATACTTGTGTCCCAACTGCGTGGCGGACCTCCCTCGTGACAGCCTGTGCCGCCGTCGCCAGGAGGAAAAGGCGCAGCGTGACCGCAAATGGAAAAAGGAAATGCAAGTGCTTGAAGCAATCCTGGAGCTCAAAGTGGCTAATGAGCTAGCTGAGTTTGCAGGTGAGTTCTTTGACCTCGTCGAGCGGCGCAGCAGTCTGCCTTCGGAGACGGAGACAACGGTCCCTTTTGATGACGGGATT